GGTGAGAATGAAATTGTGTGTGGATCACAGTACCTTTACACATGCAGGAGACTTTACCTCTAATTTCTTACACACCCAAAGCAAGTGCAAATTGACATGAACTTGTGATTTTGCTTTTTGTTTGACGTCTGAAAACTACAGAGGCATCACCGCATCAACACAGTGACAAATGCCCAGAAAGTCTAAATCTACGGGCTATAATGAATTGCAAATAAATTTTTTTAAAAAAAAACTCTTTGACATACATAATGACAAATAAGTAAAAGACTCTAGTTTCAGGTATTAGAAACTAAAAAATATAAGTGAAAGATCTAGTGAAGGAACCTGTGTGGATCGCATTACCAAAGCAAGTGCAAATTGATAGTAGCAAAGGATGAAGTGCATACCTATGAATATGTGTTCGGAGAAACAAAGTCCAAATTGCTTTGATTCAATTATGACGAATGGGTGTAGATATTACTTTTAAATCATGTTAGATGAATACATTAATTAACTTAAGTTGCATGCGAGATATTCCATGTGATTTTATGCACATTTGGAAAGTTCATGATTTGACTCATACCTAGAAAGAGGTATGAACACGGTTTGAAAGAGATGTGGTTGGAATGAAAGAAAGTGCATAAATGAAAACTTTTGAACAGATAAATCTACATTACTTGAACATTCAGGACGAACGGACAGTGTAGGTACGAAGTTTAGAAAGCACATATGATATATTTGAAATGTACAGATGAGAAGTGAAGACAATGGAAATTGTTTTTTAAATTCAGAACAAAAATAAATTTCGAGTGAAGAATCTGAACTAAAGAGTCAAACTTATTGAAACCCCAATTGAAGGAAATTGTAAGCAGCATTACCGTTTAGCAGTTTGCAAGAAAGTAATTTGCGATTTGATGTGCTTGGGTAGTCGTCACATGTTGAGCGGCTATAATGTTGTACAGGTTATTAGATTCGTGCGATAAGGGAAAATAATGATGGTTCAAAAAAAGTGGCAATTTGGGGAAACATCGGGAATTATTTAGTGGGACATAACATTTAAATCTGGACTTAGTGTTTTACACGATAGTCACCATTAAATGCCTGGTATGACACATATTTTGGTTATCTCAATGACATGGTCATAATCAAAGTAGATGTGAGAGTATAATCTATGCTAAAATAAGTATACAGGAGTAGCATGTCCAACAATGTTAGTTCAACAAATGAATAAATGTAAACGTTTAATTTCCCCAAATAACTTTTATGAGTAGTGGCCAAGAGACGCAACTCATCACTGGAATAGTTTTGAAGTATCAGAACAATATTGAGGACGAACTGAGAGCTTATCCACCTTTTTTGTTGCTGCACTTTTAATGCTTTATTTGAGTTTTATGTTGCAATTGAAATCAATTAAGTAGCTATTAAACTTACTTTGGAGGATAAGCACATTATTTAGTAATAGGTTCCTATTAAAGGCTCCTACAATGCACACATTAGATTGACATATAGTGTGGTTGTTTCAGAATGATCAACATGCTTTAATGAAGTAAAAATATAACAATTAGAAAAAGTGAAAGAGGAAAAACAGAAACAGAACATATATTGGTGTTATCTCTATGAAGACGATTTAAATCTTTTTGCTTCTTTAACCTTTTAGCTAAATATGGGATGTCAAGTAATTTATAAATTCATCTTTAATCTATTTCACACCAACTTTCTGTAACTGTGCACTTGACTTGTGATGGAGTATATGGCCCGGGAACCCCCGGCCCACAGACTCCTACTACTCCAATAAAGGCCCAACAGGCCCAGAAAGCACAACAGGCCCAAATCACAGCGCTAAGAGTACCAAGCAGCCCACAACGCGCGCCAGGGGTGCCTTCGGCCCCCTGGCCGAAGGCTCTAACTCTCACAAGAGGGCCAGGACAGGAAAACAAAGTTACTGGAGGAAACGGCGAAAATCAGTAGCCCTCGGCAGTTGGAGCCCTCAGCACTAAGGGGGTCCCCGGTACACAGAGCCCTCGGCTAGTCATCTACTGCCGAGGGCGCCTCTTCCGACACGATATCCGCTCCACATGCGTACAGATCACCGTACCCTGTACAACGTCCCATCCAACAGCCGCATTAAATGCGGCCACATGCGGTTGCCAGCGCCAACCAGTTGAGGTGACCCCTCGGCCAATGAACGCTTGACACGTGCCCCTGTCCGGCATTTATTGCTACTATAAATAGCACCCCATTTCCCCATTTGTAACCACACTGAAAACGCTGAACACTTTGCAATATACTTTCTCTCTCTATATTTACTTGCTCCGACTTCTCTCTTATTATTCTCCGTAATAACCCCTCGGATAAGCTACCCCCGGATACACTATCCATCAACTTGTGCTAGAACTTGTGTGAAAATGATGAACAGGTTCATTTTAAGAACAAATTAATATTATTAAGTCAGTGACTATAAACTTACTCAAGACTGGATGAAGCGGGGCATGTTGAGTGACAATAAGAGTGCCCATTACTTTCCAAATCTGCAAATAAAGAGTTAATTAAGGAGCTTAGAATTACCTTGTGAGGTAGAATGTTCAGAATGTTTTAGTATGAAAATTCATATTTGGGTTTCAATTAATATCTAATGAGTTTCGAAGTCAAAAGCACATGGGGATATAGAAAAATTCAAATGACAGGCATCGCGAGAAACCTATAATTGACTACATTGACTAAATTAGAAAACTTATGAGAGGATTGAAAACACAAATCGGCTCAAATTGTCTAAAGTTACTAAAAACCGCAGACATTGTTCATTGGCTACTAATTTCCTGATATGAACATTTCATTGAACAACTTATATGCTTTGGTAGACCTAAAACTCATGTAAAAATGGAGAAAAATTAGCAACAACTATAACTTAATTTTCCGTCTAGTGTAACAACTACATTTATCACTTCTTACAATGAATTGGTTTATTCGTGTCAGATAGTCTGATTAATTTTTCAAAAGAATTTCAAGCTATTACTTTCTTTTGGCAGGGTTTGATTCATACATGGTTTTCATGAATGAAATTGAATTCCTTTTGACCAAGTAGACTATGTTTTGGTTAATGGAAAGAAGTGTCTATACTTGTCCAGTTGAAACCAAGGTTTGCTACTAATTAATTAGCAGTAAACATTGTTTATCCATATGAGATGATAAAAGCCAAGATAGAAATGCCATATGAGGTTGTCTTGCGGTTTTCAAAAGAACTTTTAAAAATCAAAGTTCTTTTGATGATTATAGAAGACATTATCATCTAAACTAAAAAACTAAAACTGATAGGCTGAATTATAAAACACCTTATATGTTTTACCTTACATGCTTTCGTGCACATGCACCTAAAAGTCATGTAAAAACAGATAAATAAATACATCGCCAAATACTAAACGCGAAAAAGTGAATACAACAATAAAAGTGTGTCACATAATTCAACTCAATACCTCTAAGGTTATCCGGAAAAATAAATCAGGCAATAATTAAAAATGTGTAGAAAGATGATGGAATTAGCAGAAGAGGCAGCGTAACTGTGTTATTAGAGAGGCAATATATGAGAGATGAGAGACCCTATTGTACATGGCAAGCTGTAGCGGTATATTAGCCAATTTGTTCAGAATTTTTCAGAGAAGAAAACGCTTAGGATTTTGAAGAAGAAGATTAGAACAAAGTGATATCACCCTAACCACAATCTTCCATGTCTCCTTTGCATCATTGATGATTGATCTCTTCAATTGCGTTTATCTTGTGTGCCATATCGAAGGGTCTAAAAAAACACCACACGATTATATTGAAGACTATAGACGTTTGAAACTGAATCTGTCAATTTGTATTGATATTAGCAAATCAATTAAATTCTTATTATCCTGATGTAAAAGTTGTAAGACAGAAACTATCATTTCCAGGAAAATTGAAGTATTGGACGTCTTGGAACTCAGGTAGTTGAAATGAGATATACTATATTTCTTTTACGGATCTTTTAAGAGTTTTAAAAATAAAATGCAAAATACCTAAACACGAAACGAACCAACACATTTGCTAGGTTATGAAAATTTTTCAGAAAAGTACACCCCTCCAACTTGTTTAGGTTTTCATGATTGTGCTATCCCTTCAGAAAACAAACAACATTTGCAGAATGTACTATTATTAAAGGAGCGCAATAACCTACTTTCCTGATTTAGAGTTTATAAGGCAGACATTATCACTCCCAGGAAAGTGAGAGAGATGTGTTATACATGGTAAGCCTAGCTGTATATCCCAATCTCAGCCAATCTGTTCTGGAATTTCCGGAGAAGAAAAATCTAGAGGTTCAGGCTTGTCTATTCAAATTACAATTATACCCTCCATCTCAATGTGGCTGATAGAGTTTGGTTTCTGTTTTTTTAGAACTACGGTTTTACATCTACTCTAGTTATTTCTGTCTGACAGAATCTATGAAGAAAATTCTGCATTTTTCTTCTCTTGCATAAACTACTGAATTTGAAGTTTTGATTAAAGTTATGGTTGCGGAATTTTATGTTTTGATTAAGTGAATGGCAATGAAAGAGCCAACAGAGTCTTTGTTGCCATTCTTATCGAAGCTTTGGTCTATTCAAGCTTTGGTTTATTAAAGTTGGTCTTTCCGAAAGTTAATGTGGTAACAGACTATTTTTTGTTTTTAACTGCATTTCATTCAAAACCTAAACAATCAACATGAAATTAAAAATAAATGATAAGAGCTCAAATGTCCTTCTTATCTTCAATTATAAGACTATTTGGGTTCTCTTCTACTATTTGTGTTTGTTTTTCATTTTGAAGTTTTCCATTATGATTCCTATTCAGCGTTCCTTAAAAAAAGCAAATGAAAAGAAACAGAAACAAAAGGCATTATACTTTTGGGTAGAGTAACTACTCAAAACAAAAACACAGAAAATGCATTGAATACGATTGAATACACGTATACTTTTGTAGACTTTTAAAAATTTAAATCCAATACAATTTATACGGCTAAACTTTTAGGGAGTATAATACATAAACTTTTAAAATTTTGGTAATTCCTAATACTGTACACCCCAGTATTTAACCAGTTCTCAGACTGAGATGAACCGAAGTGTGCTGATGAGAAGAATTCAACTCCCCGGTGCGGCGGCTGCGTTCCGCGGTTCAGCCGATATTTTCACGCTTGCCAGTTATACTGTTAAACGCTCACCCCCATCGCTTTCATACCTTCAACCTCCGGCGCCTAGCTCTCTTTACTCTCAGCGATGCCTGGTTACAGCCACCATTCGCCCCTCTGAACCCACTGTCAATCCATCCCTTCGTACTCAAAGCGATGTCCCTAGCGGTAAATATGACGTTTGTTTGCACGCACTTACATTCATTTTCTGGTCCTTTTTAAACCGTCAATACCTTAATTTTCATGCCATTTTCTAGGAGAAACGGACAATAATGGAGCTTTGGGAAAGTGCTCCAAAGTCATTTTGAAAGGAATGAGATACGCTGACCTTGAAGTATGTATTTCTTTTCATACATGATTGATGCAATGATTAGGTTTGCAGAAGCTTTGTGTGACTAGGATTAAAGGGTTGAAGGGAATGTTGAAACTTGAATGGGCGCTTAGAAGTGTTTTTATTAGAAAGTTAGGATTGTTAAGAAATTTATGACAAATAATTTATCTTTGAATGGGGCTAAGAGAATGCATCTAAACATATACTGACGCCAGTTAGGATACATGTGCCTGGAATTAAAACTGCAAAAATATGTATAAATGTTTTCATAGACTTTATGGACTCAATTCATAGGAGAAAGAAAGCATACTTGTAGTTATATATGTGCAAACCTATTTATGAAATAACTTGTTGCAAAGAGGTAATTGGTTTTGCCAGGGAAGGGGGCGGGGGGTGTAGAATTGAAATATTTAAGATGTCTGTTTGGAGTCTTTTCACTTGCATGTTGCATCTAGTTGTAGACTTTTACATATATAAACTGGGTATTTGGGGGTCACCGTTAGATCAGATACTGCGTATTTGGGGCTCATATATGCCAATATCAATCATAATATGACTATGCCTCCCTCCTTGGTGCAATAAGTCATGTAATATTATTAAAAAGAGAAAATTCCTTAAATAAGAGTAAAAACATCGATACAATTCACAAATAGGATCATCATTGTTTACTTCCTAAAATAGGACTTATTCACTCTTAATTGGGGAAGTTTTAAACTGTCAATAGAACCAAAAAAGTCCTGTTTTGAGAATAAACCATAACTACTCATATTTGTGCACTTTTTATATGTTGTACTCCTATATGGAACAATTTCTTTATTAAAACCCTTAGGGGTGCGTTTAAGAAGGGGGTTTCGGAGTGAAAGGGAGGAAAGGAGTTATTTTTATATTGATATTTGTAAAAAGTTGTGCTATACCTTGATATTTTTTTTCAAAATACAAGATATAAATGACAGATTAGTTTAACCTCAGGGTCACAGTCCTTATTTATCAAGTCATATATATTTTCGTAATTGAAAAATAAAATATAACACTGCTTTCCTATCGGAACCCCCTCATGTTATTTTACTTTAGCCTCATGAGACATAATCCTAGAGATGAGCTGTGAGCCGAAGCGCAATTTTCACCTGCAAATAGGAAAAGCCTTATAAAAATTTTATGTAGCCCATTTGTGTGCAAGGAAATATATACAAGTTCTTAATAGTGTAAATGACTATTTAGTGTAGCAAATATAATTGCTTGGTAAATCTCCAGAGTTCATTTAAAGAGTTTTTGCCACTTTCGGTCCCCCAACTATTATGTAAGTGACACTTTTGGTACTCGACTTCTAATTTTTTCATTTTTAATCCTCAACTATTGTGTTAGAGACGCTTTTAGTCCCCGACTTCAAGATTTCCCCATTTAGTCCCTGACTATTGTCAAATTGACACTTTTAGTCCTCTCATTATGATTTAGATACAATAAATGGAGGACTAAAAATGTCACTATTATAATAGTTGAATGACCAAAAGTGTCACTTTTATGAAAGTTGAAGGACTAAATATGAATATTTTCAAAGACGGGTACCAAAAGTGTCTCTAGCCCAATAGTCGAGGACTAAAAATGGATAAAATCAAAGTCGAGTACCAAAAAGGTCAATGACATAATAGTCGGAGGACTAAAAGTGACAATAAAAGCAAATGTTTAAGCTTTCCTTGTTATATAACCAAATGTTTAAGAGAAGTAGTTTAGAAACACTTAAAAGCAGCCGCACAGAACGTTAAAGGAACTGCTGCTGAACTAATGCTACTGAACTAGCATCATGCATGGATGATTAAGCTTTCCTTGTTATATGAAGTTATAAATACTAGTGTCCATGTACAATGCACTAATGCAGCTCCAAGTAGAAGAGTAGGAGACTGCCATATGAAGAGAGAAATAGTAAACCTAAGAAAAGAGTATCTAACTGGGGACCTTGGGATTTTCCATATTCAAATATTGGATTTTTTAATAAACTCAATGGAGCCCAGACAAAATAAAGCCTTATTGGACCCGATATGTCAAATAAAGCCTGATTCTAAAGATTTTCTGGACCATTTGCTCGATACAATGAGGCTTAAACCTCCACCGCTTCATGAAGCTTATGTCTCATGCATGTGATGCTTACGCCTCTAGACAACACAGTGATGCTTAAGCCTGGGAGCTTACAGGTATGTGCATGCATGTTATGAGTTATATCTATGATTCTATGCTGTCTTCTACTCTTCAGATTTAAGTTAGGGTTACACTGCATCCACATAAAGAGTTTGTGCATTCTTATTTGATATTTCGAATATTGATGAGGCTTCTAGTATATTTCCTATTTGGATATTGTGATTAATATATGCACTTATGTTTCCCTTTTGAACCTCTCAATTATTTCTCTGGAATTCTTCTTGCAGAAATGGGTTCAGTCACAAGGTTTTAGGCCTGCTCAGGCATTGATGCTGTGGAAGCGCCTTTATGCAAATAATATTTGGGCACAGTCTAGTGAAGAGTTAGAAGGTCCATTGTTGATTACTATTTACTGTAATTTTAATCATCTGAACGATTGCCCAATATCTATTCGTAAAGGTCGTGTTTTTATTGGACAGTTTGATGTTATAAATACTATTTGACCACTTTATTTCATATCTGGTACTGAAGAGCATTTGTATATTTCTCTTTCAGGTTTGAATAAAGAATTCAGAAAAATGTTAAGTCAGCGTGCTGAATTCAAAGCATTAGATTTGAAAGATATTGTGACAGCATCTGATGGTACTAAAAAGGTAAATGTAATAACGCTATACCTTTATTACCCAGAAGCATCTATAACAATGCAGTTTAATGTTCTCTTCTTTGAGAATCATCACATTTATGTAGAACTCGCAGGGGGTTGCAGATGTTATTTGCGTTGGAGGACAGCTTGATAATAGAAACTGTAGTTATACCGTGTGAACGGGGCAGAAATACTGTCTGCATTTCTAGTCAAGTTGGTTGCGCCATGAATTGCCAGTTCTGCTACACTGGCAGGCAAGTTCTAGACTACTATTATTATCCTTGCCTCTCCATGAATTTAACTAGTTAACTGGAAGCTCACTTCACTGTTTTTCATCCCTGCAAATATAACATTATTTTTCACGTCAAATATAGTGACTGTCTAGGAAGTCTTATAAAAAGCACTCTCTCAAAAAGTACTTTTTAAAAAAATCACCTATGTAATATTTTTTGTTTGTGAAAAAGTTATTTTAACCCTATTAAAGCTAAAATGAATTATTTGCACCCTTTAGTTTTTTAATAGCAGCAATATATTACTTTGAAAATAGTATTTTTACTGATTTTTGAAGTCATAAACAAAGTATCAATTTTTCACGTCACACTATTTCCTTTGTAGTCCTCCTTCTCCTCAACCTTCATTTACAAAAAAATGATGTGGCACCTAGAATATTAATTGTGCTTCTTTTTGCCCTCTTTAAAATTCTTAAAAAATCATTTCAAAAGAGCCATAAAGGTGTAAACTAAAAGTGGAAGTGGTGAGTTTACTTGGTCCTAATTAGTAAGTGACAACATTGTTTTTATTAGTATTACTTTTATTGGTATAAATATTGCTATTATTTTATTATTATTATTATTATTAATTATTATTATTATTATTATTATTATTACTTATTGTTATTATTTGCAGAATGGGATTAAAGAGACACTTATCTACTGCGGAGATAGTTGAGCAGGCAGTTCTTGCACGGCGTTTGCTGTCAAGTGAAGTTGGTCCAATTTCAAATGTTGTATTCATGGTACGTTGTAGATCTAATGGATTCAATTCATTCAACCTTCCTTCTATCTTCAGTGTTGCCATTTCAATGAACAAGACTGAGTAAGTGAACAGCTCTATATATGCTGTCTCAGCCCAAATCATATTTTATAATCTTTTACCCGTGTTTGCAAGGCTATGTGTGGTCTGGTTTTCGTTTTTTCACAATTCGATGGCGATTTGACTAACATATAAGCTGATAACTACCTATTTATTCCAGCTCTGAACTAGTTTCCTGGTAATAGTGCATACTAGAGGTGTTAGTCACTTAGTTGGTCGGTTTTGATTGATGTATAAGTGTATAACCAAGAATCTTACCGTGTAACTTGAGCCTATGATTTGTTCGTTTTTTGTCGGTTTCGGTTGGGTTGGTTTCAGTCAGTTTGTCTGTTGGTTTAGGTCAATTAATTTTTGTTTCCCGATAAGTGTCTGTGTATACCAGTTTTCCTTTTTCACTATTCTTCTCTGTCTCAGTTCTCCAATTATAAAAACTTCTAACAGTACCAACTTACAAGAAGGATATTAGGTAAGGGAAGTTATGTATTCTACTCTCTCAGTCCTCCAAAAGGGAATTTCTATGACTTTGGTGACTTTGGTTAAAGTGCACACTTTTAGTTTTTACTAGGTACAAATATTAAGGGAGTGTTTGCAAAAGACTAAAAAAGTGTTTTTCAGTTTTGTGCTTAAAAAAAGCTGAAGTTGGTGTTTTCAAGTGACAACTTCGGCTTAAATTAAACATTTTAAAGCTAAAAGCTGTAAGCCAGTGGAGGAGTGCTTTTAAACTGCGTTTCACGTTTTCCATTACCCCAATAGTACCCTTTTACGGTTTTACCAAAAACTACCAACTTTTACTTTTGCCAAATCATTTTTCTCTCGAACATTACCAACTTTTACTATTAATCATTTTCTTTAAAATCACTTTTTTAAAAGTAGAACTGTAGAAGCAACCTAAAAAAATCCCTAAATTTCATGATATCATACTTATAATTTTAGAATTCATTTATTGGTTTAATTTTCATATTCATCTTGTTTGTAACTCTTATTTGTGGGAAATTTCTGGAAGATTTGTTTGATTAACTAGATTTTTTTGTGACTGTTTTTTCAAATGTCTTTTTTCCTTGGAGTCATTTTTTACACTTGTTTTTTTGGAATTGAGTAGTACTTTTTTCACGATTCTTGGATATTCAATGAGTGTTTTTAGAATGGTTGCTCATTCCTAAAACGAAAATTAATGAAGCGGAGAGACTGTTTTGTTAAGCGTACGATATATTTTAATTCATCACATTAGTAGGCTGACAGGTTGGGTTTGACAAAGATGTACTCCACATCCCGCTAAGCAGTTTTTAGCCCACATTTCTCTAGCTAAATTGAGCTAGACTACAACAGCTTTTGTGTGTGTTCAATTTTTAAATCACAAGTGAACAACCATTTATTTGCAATACCTATCAGAAATTGCTCTAAACAGGGAGTTAGAACAATATGATTTTCCGAAACAGGATACCATGTTTTTCCCTGAGTTATTATTGCAATGTTTGGATGATACTGCCATTTATGAGATTATTACGGGCACATTAGTGCGTGATAATGCCAAATTGTGGTAGTATGATTTCAAGATGGCCATAACTTGCTCTTATCTAGGGGAAAACATAGTACTTCTATTCTGAGAAATCACATTGTTTTAACTCCTATTTCGGAAAATATCCCATTCTCTCTCACGGAAGTAACAATTAGTGAATGATGATTGTATAGGGGATGGGGGAACCACTCCATAACACAGAAAATGTGATAAGAGCTGCAGACATATTGGTTGATGAGCAAGGGCTCCATTTCAGTCCTCGCAAGGTCACCATCTCAACCAGCGGTCTTGTTCCCCAGCTAAAGCGTTTTCTTCGCCAATCTAATTGTGCTTTGGCAGTCAGCCTGAATGCCACCACTGATGAGGTTTTTTAAAGAACACTTCATATTGAGGTCTGGTGCAAATAAATCTGTATACAACTTGAAATGTTACTATTGTTGAAAACATTGCAGGTTAGAAATTGGATCATGCCTATAAACCGGAAATATAACCTGAAATTGCTTCTTGGGACTCTTAAAGAGGAGCTTAGTATGAAGCACAACTACAAAGTTTTTTTCGAATATGTTATGCTTGCTGGAATTAATGACAGGCAAGTAGTTTTTCTTGATTATCTGCATTTTAGCATACATAATAATAATTAATAATAGACTTAATTCAACAAAAAATTAGTACAATTTTGACCACGTCATTACTTTTCTGTTCCCAACCCCCGCCTAGCCTCTTGGTGTATGATTGGCATTCTATGTTTTTTATACTCACTCCATCCCAATTTGGTTTGCAAAAGTTGACCGACACAAGAACCAAGGAAGGTAATAAATTAGATTTGCCTTTACTATTTTGTCCTTTCCCCCAAAAGTAGAGGCATCATTTTCATCATTTTCATTTACCCCAGTGCCGCAAAGGCTCCCACCTACGGTGGGGTAAGGGTGGGTCGGATGTACGCAGTCTAGTCTTACCTCTGTACTAAAGCACTGAGAGACTGTTTCCAGATGACCCATAGTGAAAATCGCGTCCAAAATTGCATGGACTGACTGCTGCTCCATAACAAAGAAGCGCACACAGTTTAGTGAGCCATTTTGCTTTATTCCATCATAATCTCAAGCGAAAAAATAATGAATCCCCAAAAGTAGAGGCATTTAAGTAAATAGAGTAGGGGTAAAAGTAAGGTTAAATTTGTCACTTTATTCATTTTTACAACCTAAAATAGTGAGTGGAAAATCATTTTTTGCAAATCAAATTGGGATGGAGGAAGTATACAATATACCAAACACTGGGTAATTCTCCCATACTGTGCTACGGCTGACCCTGCTTATGTCTAGTTTAGGTGCTAAGCCTTCGAGTAATCTCACATTACCATAGTAATTTAAGAAAGGTAAGGTGAGATCATTACCTTGTTTGGTTCAGGCTTGTAGATACCCTGGTAACTCTGAGATCACCTCCAAATACGAAAATTAGGTAATGTTGGGCATAATTTGATAATGATTACCTTGGGTTTTGTTGGTTATTACTCCATCTGTCCCAAAATATAAGATACTTTAGGTGTAGGCGGTGTAGCACGGGCTTTAAGAAAATTACAGATATATTTGTTATGGCCTTTTAAAGGAAGAAAATGTAATGATAGATGAAGGGATAAATTTGAAAAATTAAAATCATTGGGGAAGACAGTCATGCACAAAAAAATGCATCTTACAAAATTTAAGATTACCTTGGTTATGCTTAACAATTTAACGAGATAATAAGTAGTGTTGCATACTTGCGTGCATTCTGTGAATTGAAAAACTTAAGATGATCTTTCATTCCTGTAATCTCACATACCTTGCATTAGGTGATCCTACTACACCTGGTAAGTGGTAACTCTTTCCACCCATGAACCAAAAACCTTCTATATTAGATGGCTTATTGTCATTCTCTCCTTTTAAGACTTTGATGCTGCAAGTATAATTGCTCAACTTCATATCATACAATTACACGTTGCATTCCTCATTTGCTGAGAGTTCTTTGACCAGTGTGGAAGATGCAAAGAGACTAATTGATCTGGTTGATGGCATTCCTTGCAAGATTAACCTCATAACCTTTAACCCTCATTCCGGATCTCTATTCAGACCAACAAAGGAGGAGACAATGGTTGAGTTCCGGAACATTCTCGCGGAAGCTGGGTGTGTTGTTTTTCTACGGCTGAGCAGAGGCGATGATCAAATGGCGGCTTGTGGTCAGCTTGGCAAGCCCGGGGACATACGGGCCCCGTTGCTACGGGTCCCTTCCCAATTTCGTGCAGCATTACAAGAAGCTTCACTATAATTTTCATACCACTCTCGACTGTTATTTACTTATTTACCTATTCAAATGGGAGTTGTTTAATTTTTATGTAGTGTGAAGTTAAATGCTTAAATATGTTTTTAGAGGGAGGAGCAGTCGCACTAGTTTGACCAATTGAATGAGAGTTGTCCTACAATTCCTTACGACTCGTTACTAAAATGCAACGGTACGTCTGACATCTCATATTAGCCTTTGCCGAAATTAACTCGAAACATTCATCTTCACCACATATCCTACGAAGTACTAGTACAAACCATTGTTCTAGATTAGGGTTGGATTCGGTTCGGGCCACCTGGCCCGTGACCCGGCCCGGTACTGTGCGGGGCGGGCTCGGTGCTGGATTAATTTGACCCGGCCGGGTCGGGCCCGGGCCCGGGTCCGGTCTTATTTTAAAATTTTTTTTTTTGTTTGGTGGGCTCTTGGGCTACTAGCCGTTGGGGGTGGGGCTGGGGACAACCCAAACGGCTATATAGTCGTTGGGTGGGGTAAAGGGGGGGGGGGGTCCGGGGGGGTTGGCTGGTGGGGGTGGTGGTGGTGGGGGGGGGTGGGGGGTAAAAAAACCTATAAATACTCCTAATCTTAAACATTTTTTCATATCTCTTCTCCAATTCTTCCTAAATCCTATTCTTAACTCTCTACTCTCTAATTCTCTTATTCTCCAATATATTATATTTATTATTTATATATCTATTTTATAGTTTATACTTAAGAAGTTAAGATGGAAAATCAAGATGCCATTATACGGTATAATTTTGATAAACAGAAAGACCCGAAGACCGGGATGTGGTACGCAATTTGCAAATGGTGCGAGAAAAAATGTAGCATGGGGGTTTCTGGCGGATTCGGGATGACAATCAAGCATATGAAGTCATGTGACAAAGCCAAAGGATCGGGAGGTGCAGGAAGTTCCGATTGATTACAATTTTCAAAATGTTTATCTCTTAAAGTTTGTTTTAATTTTCAAATGTAGTTCCTATTTCATTTCAAATAAATGCAATTGAAGTTTGTTTTTAATACTCGTATAAAACTATAAACTATAAAATATAAATTATATATATAAAAAAATTTAACCGGCCCGAACCGGACCCGACCTGTGACCTGGGCGGGTGGCCCGGCCCGGACCGGACCCGTCCAACCCTCGGGCCGGTCCCGGGCCCATGTCATACTACCCGGCGGCCCGACCAGGCCTAGGCCCGGCTCGGGCCCGACCCGGCCCGAGTCCATCAATATTCTAGATCTTGAAACGCCACTCACCAGTTCTGAAATGTAAAACTTATTTCAGGACTTTAGGAAGAAAAAAAGAACAAAAGAAGAGAAAACGGAAAATGAAGAAAATAAAAAGGAAAACTTGAGAAAAATGGTAGATAAAATGGCAGCAGGACACTTTACATTATGGCTTTAATTATTTTGACAAATTTGATATTTAGTTACTTTTGAATATTCGAATATGATTGGAATATATTCAAGTAGAGCAAATGAAGCAAATATGACTATAAAACAAGATTCTATTATTAACAAATATGAAAATTCAGTAATTTATACATATAAATAGTAATGTCAAGTATTCGGTTCGATTCGTTTAACACACGAATGCAAATTATACTGTGTGATTGTTATACCATGCACATGATATAACGATCTCGTTACGGTGTAATTTTGCTTATTTGAAAAAAATAAGTTTATTTTGAGTTTTTCCCTAAAATATTACTAATAAAAAATTTAAGAAAAAATGTGACTGTTAGTTATTATAGTAAGTTTTCTAGCCACTATGAATCTATGATGTTATTTTTGAATATAATTATAGTTACTAAAAGTTATTAAGTCACATTTTTGTTCACTATTTTTATTTTAATTATATATTTGGAATTATTTCTAGTCTTTTTCTTCATCATTAGAATACTAAGAATCTGATGATGAATTTGCCCTTCTTCATTTTCATAAGTTTGCAATTCTTCTTCAAACTCTACCTTATATTTTTTTTTGGAAAAATTGATAGTAATAATCCCAACTATTGACGTTCGCTCATAATAATCTCAACTATCGATTATTTCAGAATAATCCCAACTTTAGGTACCTTCCGCCAATAATGGTCCGATGTGACCGTCTATAAATAAATAATCCCAAATTTATATTTTACGCTTAATTTCTATTTAAAATTCACTTGTTATAGGAGGTAATATCTAGTCATGGACTATTATTTACGGACGGTCTATATAGTTGGGATTATACAAAAATAATCAATAGTTGAGATTATTGTTAGCGGACTGACAATAGTTGAGATTATTATTTTCAATTTTTCCTATTTTTTTGTTTGTGTGATTCATATTTAAAATTTAATATAGCCTTACACATTTAACACATGCACTTTACATTTTGTATATCATGATTTACTTAAATGACACACATGATTTACATTTTGTATAACGTGATTTACATATTCCGCACATGCACTTTACATTTTATATAAAGTGATTTTCATATGTGACACAATTTACATTTCGTATAGCATGATTTATATATATTTGACACACTATTTATATTTTGCATAATGTGACATGAGTATTTGAAACACACATTTTACATTTTCGAATAATTCTTTTACACCAAGCATTTAAATTATTAACAATAAAGAATATTACATTTACAAGTTATCTCAAGTTCTTAAAACATTCATTAATTATTTAAAATAGACGTAGTAATATTTACATAAGAAACAAACTATTTATATTAAAATTTCTAACACATTGTTTGCATATATTTTCATCTTTTATAACAACATCTACATAAATATAAAACATGCCTTATACAAAAGTATAACTGAGTTACATTTCTATATCAAAATTTGTTTTGCTCACAATTATGCAAGGATGTATAATATTTTAATCAACCAAATACTCTCTATTGGTGTATTCTAACTCATCCGCACGGATATGATATGTACTTTAGAATTTGTATTTTTTTAAATATCAAGACTACTTTAAATGGGTTTATTTGATAATAATTTTTTCAAAAAATAAGATTTGTAAAAAAGCCAATTTCGGAACACAGGCTATGGTATGGACTATGGAATAAATTGACTTCGAAAAATAGGTGTCCAATTCGATGTAGTGCTGCAGGCCCAATTACTCGCAAACCCTAACTAGTATTTAAATCTGCGGGAAGTATTATCACTTCCATTACCAAACCCTAGCTCCCTTCTTTTGTTGCGCAAGAACCTGTACGCAGTCATGGCTGACAGAGGAGGTTTCGGACGTGGCTTCGGCGACCGAGGGCGCGGAGATAGAGGACGTGGGCGCGGCGATCGTGGGAGAGGAGGGCGCGGTGGCCGCCGCCGTCCCACCGAGGAAGAAAAATGGGTTCCATGTACCAAGCTCGGCCGGCTCGTGAAGGATAATATGATCAAATCATTGGAGCAGATTTACCTGCATTCGTTGCCTGTTAAGGAGTATCAAATCATTGATCAACTCATCGGCCCATCTTTGAAGGACGAGGTGATGAAGATTATGCCGGTCCAGAAACAGACCAGGGCTGGTCAGAGGACTCGGTTCAAGGCCTTCGTGGTTGTCGGCGATTCAAACGGTCACGTCGGTTTGGGGGTTAAGTGCTCCAAGGAAGTCGCCACTGCCATTCGCGGCGCTATCATTTTGGCGAAGCTTTCTGTGATTCCTGTCAGGAGAGGCTACTGGGGTAACAAGATCGGTAAGCCGCACACTGTTCCCTGCAAAGTAACCGGAAAGTGTGGATCTGTCACTGTCCGCTTGGTACCAGCTCCGCGAGGTGCTGGAATCGTGGCCGCCAGGGTTCCCAAGAAGGTTCTCCAGTTCGCTGGTATTGATGATGTCTACACATCCTCCCGTGGTTCCACAAAGACGCTCGGAAATTTCGTTAAGGTATTTATAACTGTATAATATACATGATGTTTTAATCTGAATTTATCACATCTCATGTGGCCTGAAAATAGTAAAGGCTGTATTTTTAAACCAAAGAGCCTACTTGTTATGATATATCAATAATATTGTGACGTATCAGTATGTGTGTGGTGTTTTAACTTAGCATGATTTACATTCCGTAAAGTCCCTATAATACATTTCAATATGTTTGTTGATTAATATAGCCTTGCTCGTTCAGATTTATAAGTTTTGCCTCATTGGTCACTATAAATTGGAATATGCATTCATGGAAGTTTGTTTTAACTCTCTTCTTTAAGAATTGTAGTTTATTAGTTGCAGATTTGTTTGAAACTATTAATGCTCCTATGGCTTGCATTTAGTCTTTGAATGGTGAAGTCGTTTGTATTATAAAAAAATTAAATAAAATTAAACTAGCAGAAATACTAGTGCTAAAATGTTTTTGTCATTTTCTTAAATGTGTCCATAAGAAATTTTACTTTTGATGAAATATACATTGTACTCCCTCCGGTCCCAAATCAAATTAACACTTTCTTTTTTAGGTACGTCCAAAATAAACTTCACACTTCTACCTTCCTTATTTGGCAAATTACATACATCAAAACATTGGCAAACAATGCAAAACAGTGTCGAACAGTGTCAAACATTATCACAACCGTGTACTCTATAGTACAGTCAAATTTATTTCCTTAATTTGTGTGAAGTCAAACATTGAATTTGTTTTAGGATCGGAGGGAGAAATATTTTGTCATCAACAATTTTAGTTAGCTGATTTAAGGAATTTGTGTTTTGTTAAAAGATCAGCCTGATAAAAAGATAGAGTTAAGAGGTGTAAATTCACACATTTTCACATTATACTTGGATTAAGGCTTCCTATAAACTGACTTAAATTAGAATGTCCTCATTTGGAATAGCTTCCAGTTCTAAGGGTTTCCTTAGATGTACAATTTACCACTAAAGTGATCTTTTAATTTAACAGTACGTGATTTATCTTGACTGCATATTTGCAGTGTATGGAAGAGAAAATCTGTTGGATTTTGATTCTTGTTTTTTGTGTTTTCTCTTTGTTACAGGCAACTTTCGATTGTCTCTCGAAGACGTACGGATTCCTCACACCAGACTTCTGGGCTGAAACCAGGTTTATAAGATCTCCTTTTGAGGAGTATAGTTACTTGTTGGGCGCCCCCCCTGCCAAGTATGTCTCCATTGAAGAAACTGTTGCTGATAAAACCGAAGCTTGAGCGTATTTAGGTTACTT